CTTTTTGGCTTTAATGCCGCCAAAAATAAGTGCCTAAACATTATTTGCACACAAAATATATGGCATATAAAAAAATTTTGGACAAGAATTGGGCGAACCATCCGCTAAAATAGCCCTTTGTATTGCAATACATTGACAGCTGTTTTACACACTTATAATTTAAACTTAAATCTAATCTTAAATCTATGAAAACATTTTCATTAAATATTTACTTATTCGCATGAATTTTGCATTTAATATATAATTACAGTTTTTAATGAATGTAAGTAAAAACATTTTGTACACATTAAATACAATGCATTTTAGTTAAAGAATTTATTTAGATTAAATAAGTTTCGACAATATATAGTATTTTGTATATAATATAAATACAAAATAAAATGCATTTTTATCAAATTAATAGTATTACTTCTTAATAACAATCAATTTGTATATTTATATTAAACAATGTTTGATTGTGTGAAACAAATTTAATAATAACCAATTATATGTCACGGAATCTATCAATTATTGTAAAACTTTCAATAAAACATCAATTATTATCAAATTATAGTTTTGTTGCAAAATGTTATTCTATAAAATACTGTAAAAATTGAAATTTATTTTATTTCAAATTATGTTTTTAAAATAAAATTTTAATTTATATACACTATAATTACAGTATATATTATGTTAACGCTTTGTTTTATAATTAATGCAAATTTTTAATTCATTTTAAATGTATTTAAATTAATAATAAGTTAAACTAATGGCTAGAATAATAAACAAGTAGTTTCTTGACATTTATATATGAGAAACATTTATTATATAAAACTAAAGACAAATGATTTTAATCATAAATCCTTTAAATACATGTATTATTAATGATTTTTGAAAAATAAAATTACTATTTCATAAATATTAAGCACATTCAGCGATACAGCACTGAAAACACATGTTTAATATTTAATTCAATATTGTTTTTCAAAACCAAAAAAAAGCAAACATTAATTTTAATAATACCGACGATTGACTATAAATATTGGCTTAAGAATAAGATTCTGGTAATAGGATTGACAATAAGATTAATGAATGTTTTGCCGGATTAAACATATTCTTTCTGCACATCATTATTATGATTGCCATTCATATAATGTATGTTAAATAGTGTGCAACAAAAAAAACATATAAACACAGAATAAATAGTATTATAATCTATTGTATAAAATAGGCTCATAAATAGTGATCCGAATCTGCATTTCATTAATAATCAAATACAATGCAAATGTAAAAAATCAATGCCTTTTTTGTCAAATCTATGGTATTTTCATTATCTCTTGACATTTGCTTATCGTTTTTATGTAGAGATTATTTGTATATACAGTATATTGTCTGCAAAATTTCACTAAAATATATTCATAAAATGTTTACCATATTTAGTTTATAATAAAAATAATAATTTATTGATATTCAACTTGTAAATACAAGCAGTCCATTGGCTGCCAATACACTTAATGTTAAAATACAATTGAAATACTGAATAATTAATATAATAATACATAATAATAATCAACGTTTTAATTCCTGATTTTACTCTCGTTATCGTTTTTAATTTTCAATTCCCGACCGAATTCGGGTGTTTTTATTTCATAAAATAGAAACTCTAATCCAAAGTATACCATAAAATTAAAATTTACAATTTTACGATAACAACTATACACTTATACCCCGGGAATGGGATTTATAATATAAATTTTATATTATATTTGAATGTATTAAAAATGAGAGTATAAGTGAATTAAATGCTTTTTTATATCACTTTTATAATACATAATATCTATATTATCTAAATAATATAAATAAATATGATGCTTTTTACGCAATATTTTGCTTTGCAGTCAAAATAAAATATTTTTCAAATAAAATTATTTCAAAATATATACAATGTTTTATGTGATATATTTCTCATTCAATTGGTGTCTCACAAGTATTGTCTCAAATCATATCGTAAAAGCATTTAAAATTTTGAACATAACTTTTAAAAGTATTTTACTTTTTTTTTTGCTGATGAGTTATTGTCTATAAAATTTCAAATGACAGCACTTTTCTCAAAGATCCAGAGAGAGAGAGAGAGAGAGAGAGAGAGAGAGAGAGAGAGAGTCAGTTTTCTATAATAAAAGCTAAATTTGATAGTATTTTACACTTTAAGTAATAATAAAATAATATAACTTATAATAAATAGGATTACGTTATCATTTGGTATACAGTCTTACGGATGGGAAACAACAATAATAAAAATCCCATTCATGTTATGTGAAAAATGAAAACCTTTACTAAAGCGACAAATAATAAGAAACAATATTTTTATATTAAACACTAATTTCACTCATATATCATAGCCGTAGAGGATTGGGACCAACACTTGGTCTCACAATACAAATAAATAATTGATATGTTATTTGATATAAACACACAATCCTTTCGGTTAATTAGTTTTTTTGGATCAAATCTTACTATCGATACTAATATAGAGGACAGACATATAGGCGTCCGACAGCACCCGTGTGTTCGGCCATCAAAGAAAATATATTGAAGTTTACGCCAAACCAAACACACAGAGACACACATGGCTTGACATATCGGTTGCCAAATATCCGGGTTAATTACAAATCGATTCTCACATCAGTCTCTCTCTCTCTCTCTCTCTCTCTCTGGCTTTCTATTATTTACATTATATTTGTTTGGTTTAAATTGTTGTCCAAACGGGAAAATAGTATTTATATTTTGATTGCAATTTCGCCCAATAATTGTTTAGTGGAAATGAAATTTTTATTATTATTTGAAATTTATTACAAATTTTTATACAACAAATACTTACAGTAATCTCATTCACCCAAAAACTTTCCCTAATTTATGAGATTAAACAATAGTTTTTATATTTAGGATTTAATGTCAAGTTTTTATATTTTAACGAAAATACCTTTTCTTTGTGGGAAATCCTTTGAGAATTTACTTTTCCATTATTTCGTTGTCTAAAAGGCAAATAAAAAATAGATATAAAATTTCTTTAGTAAAAAAACGCGATAAAAAACTCTTGAATTCAACACATATTTCTCAACAAACAAATCAAATACGAGTTAAGAGTTAGAAAAGCATTTTTTGTATCATTTTTGTATCACTTTTTGTATATTAAATAATTTTGCACAGAATATTCTTTATATTCTTGTATATTTTTGCATTTGTGCTTAAATTCTGTGTTTTTTGCTTTCTGTGCGCTAATTGAATAAATCATTAAATTTTATTAAATACAGTGTAAATAAATTGTTTGTCATTTAGATTTTGTGTCCTTTTTTGCCTGTTTTGTCGCTAATCTTTTAGACTTAAAACAATATTTAAGATATTTATCCATTAGATTATAATTGTTTGTAAGGATTGGCAGATAAAGCGTCGGCTGTGTAAACGTGGTGTAACCAAAGGGTCTATTATGATCACCAAGTAATTTAACCTGCATATTAAATTAATTATTAATTAAATTAGCAGCAAACCAATTAAGTTGTAGTATTTACCATAATCTTATTATGGTAATAATCACGACTTTTCTCGTATATAAATTATGTACTATTATTATCTGATATTTACGTATGAAGTTTTTGGGTACTCCTTATATCATTAAATTTGATTTTACTTAAAGTAAAAATATATTTCTTGATAAAATTATTTTGTTTCACTTTAATTTAATAATAAATCTCTAATAAAGAAAAAATTTACTAAAATATATAATGTTTGTAAGAGAGAGAGAGAGAGAGAGAGAGAGAGAGAGATTATATGGAAGTGAAAATATAAATTCAATTATGCCATCAGTTTTGTCACTAAACCGGATCTCTATTGATAAGAAGGGCTCAAACTTTTCTTAAACTATTACAAAATCTTTTGACAGAATTGTATTTCCCGTTAGAAACACATTATATAACATATTATACTATATATTGCTTATTATGCCATTAATCTTTAAATTGATGGCAAATATAGATTTATATACAATATTACGTGTTTTACTTTTAAAAAACTAATAGGAAATGTGATCAAGAATTTTGTTATATCTTATATAACAAACTTATAACACAATTACTTTATATTAAAACCACCAAAAAATGTCTACAAAGCATAAAATCAGCGCATTTTATGCACAACTAATCATAAATTGCAACATAAATACTAATCCATAATTGATACTTAACTAATCGCCACTAATTATAGACAACAACGAGTTAATTGGGTTTTAATAATTAAATACTAATTAATATTTAAAGTGTTAATAAAAAACACAAATTATAACAACAATCAAAAACAGTATACAATCACATCTAAACACTTAAACGCATACATTAACCCATAAATTAGCCCTAATTAGTAAATTGATCTAGTTAATGGCCAAACATGTAATCAAACTAGATTAAATACATCAATTTATTCAAACCTGATCATCATCTCATCGCAGAGGGGGAGCGCTAAAAATGTTTCTCATTTTACGCGTAACGTTAGGTATGAGTTGTTTAGGTATGAAATGTATGACAAAAATGGCATTAAATTGAATGCAGTGTTTGTGAAGGCATTCAAAAGGCATTCAATAGTATTGTTGTTATTATTTGTGTTTACAATGAGTTTCAATGCGTTATACCATTGACTGACACTTTGAATCCCTTGCCATCGGTTCCCAAACCAATCGCATGTCTCACTCCCGATGTCAACACTTCCAGCCATCAGTTGATCGCAGACAGAGACCGCCGACACACGTGCCCATCACTTCTTGAGCTTCGAGTGCGAGCACATCCCGCATATCACCGGACATCACATCCCATACAAACACCACCGCCGCAGCGGTAAGTCTTAGTATCTGTCAAACACCTCGTGTCATGTTTTTGATCTGATCCAACGCTTGTGTTCATTCAATCCTAGAGATAATGATACACAACAACGAAGTGATATCCATCGAAGAGGATCTGCTCAACTGTCGACAGATGATCCGGAGGTTCACATTCAATAACCGCAACAACAATCTCCGCGTCGGTGTCCTAACCATCGGCGCCTCTTTGGTCTCCTGCGAACTCGACTCGCATCAGATCATTGTCACCCATCATCAGCCACAACAACAACAGCCACAGCAGTACCACAACAATCATCACAATCACGGCAACGGCGGACCGATAAACGCCGGTCCCTATGACTTGTCCACCACCGGAAACGGCGCCGCCGCTGTTGGCCAGCAATTGGCGCCATCGCAACCGCCGCCACCCTCTCAGCCGCCCCCGAGTCGGACCAATTGGATCAGTCACGTGAGAGGGCCGGACACGCTGTCGCTGACCGCCGGCGTCAGCTCATCCCAGTCCCAGTCGATTGTCTATCAGTTGACACAAGAGAATCAGTTGATAGTCAGCGGGAGGTTTAAATCGCAACAACAGCTCTTCAATCCGTATTACTTTAATCTGGTATTCAATTTCATTCATCGCTTTATGATTAAGACATTTGTTAACTGTTTTTTCTTGTGTCCACAGAATTGCGCCACAAGTAAGACATCGCTCGACGGCCACTACCTTCAGATCCGGTCGTCGGACTCGACAGCACTGATTCGACAGCAAATCACGTCCAACAACTGCGGCGCCGACAACGAGATAAACTTTGTGACGGCCAACGGCTGCCCAATTCCCGGCACAGCCGACGGCCTCGACGGCGGCAATGAGTTAGACTTTGACGCCATATACTGTTTGACCAGCGCTACGGCACCCGACGCTCAACTGATGGCTACATTGCGGTTCCAAAGCCGATCGGTTGAGGTGTGCGTCCAAAGTGGCGCCAGTAGTGGAGGACAGCAACAAAACGCCGGCCAAACGGCCAACGCTTTGAATCTGAAGCTAAGGGTCCGCATAGCGAACGGCGCCGTCTGTCTAATGCCGGCCCTTATGAACGAATTCAAGTGTATTTATAAGTTTGTTTGGTGACCAATACATGACTATACGTGCGCTCCAGTGATTGGTAGCGCTGATTGTTATCGTTATGCGACCAATTGGTGGCCCGTTTCCCGTGCGACCACCGATTCGGGCAACTGATTGGGTCTATTCAAGTGATCATTTGGTGTGATCTTTCTTGTCATTCATTGAATCGCGTTTTTTGATAGCGTTTTTTGGTGTTTAAAACACGGCTTTGAAACACAGTTTTCTCTCTTATAGTGTAATTTATAGTATAACTGTTATAACAGTGTATTTTTCTCATTCGTTCAAATTAATGTTTTCGTTAAATACATATTGAAATTATGTTAAATTATTTATTGCTTTTTTGTAGTGCTATTTATAATTAACTCAATGTTTGGTTTGAATTCAATTGCAAATTGATTTGTGAATTATGAAAATTTTTGGTCTTTTTGATTATTTTCTACACTATTTTTACCGCAGAAATTGTTTGTTTTTTTGGTAAACGCTTTGAGTGAACAAATTGTTGTTTTTATATGTAATTAATTATGAATTAATTGTTTTTTATTAATTATATTTTTTGTGTAATTATTTTTTATATATAAATCTTATTATGTATTTATAAGAGATATTTATCGACAGTTAAAAGGCTTTTGTGACCGACGAAGAGATTGTGTTTGAAATTATTTTACCAATTATTATATTCTTTATATGTATTTCATTTATTCTGTGAAATGACTATTGATTTTACTCACATTTTTGCCACTGAATTATAAATTCACACCAAAATAATCATATCTAATATGAATTTTATTTATTTTCTCATTTGATATTAACGTATAGTTTGGTCTGTTTTTTATCGCTAATGAATTGCAACACTTTGTTTGTAATTATGATTACTATTAGTTTTAATTGTAATTATATTTATGGTTTGAATCGTAAGAAAACAATAAAAAATAAATCATATATTTGTTGTATTTTTCTAATTCTTCTAATCTATTGATTGATTGTTTGTTTTGTAATTAACTATTGATTTAGTTCTTGCTTTTAATTCATTACAACTATTTGTGAATTATTTGATTCGTTGCGAAATTATTGATTGTTTTACTCAATTGTATTTATTTTATATACTTTCTGTTTGTCTATCAATTGAATTTTAAAATCAAATGTAAGATTAATTCAATAAAAACTTTACATTTTAATAAAATTAAAAATCGTTAAAATATTTTGACTGATATTAACGACAGAATTTATTTGAGTTTTTGGGCTTAACTTATATCTGAAATAAATTATTGCTTAATATTTATTTTAATAATATTTTTAATGAATGCATATTTTTCTATTCATATATTGATTAAATATTTTAAAAATAGATTTAGAAAAGTGTTTATATTTTCAATTTAAACCTCCATTTAGTTATCAAAACTAATTTCAAAATTCTTTGATTAAAATTACGGATTTTATTATTAGATTTTTTCAGTTTCTTCAATTATTGAGTCAAAACGACAATCTTTAATGTTTTTACTGACTCTCTCTCCCACTCACTCAGTCACTCACTTTCTCTCTCATATGTCTCACTCACTCACATCTCTGACTTTATTCAAACAATAAGTCAAATGAAAGTCCCTGAGGAGCATCTCATTTAGCATCTGTACAAACCATACCATTACATTCATTGACTTATGTAATTACAGCCACTAATACTTCAAACAGCGAGAGAGAGAGAGAGAGAGAGAGAGAGAG